GTTAATTCGGCTGTGTTGTGTGATGGTATGTCAAGTCAAGTCAAAAATCATTTATTAATGTAGGTACACTTATGAACGTCAAAAAAAGTTCATTAAATACTTCTAGTTTTACATTTAAGCTCTCAAATCAAGGGCGTAGAACGGAAGAGAAGAAATGGCAATAAACTCTCCGCCACTCTTTTTATGGTCTGTATGTGGAGTGTGTTCATGATGCAGCACTATGCATATTCTTAATATTCCTTTTAAACGTATTCCATTCAGATTGCCTGTGGCTGTGCTACGATAAGGCTCTAGTCTTCTGTTACCACCAATTTTGAGTCGAGATTAGTGGTATATCTAAAGGTTGGATTTCCCGTGCGAGAGTCGGGTTTTATCGCTAAGTCTGTGGATGTCAAAAGGTCACTGACTAATAACCACGATTAGTTGTACGGTGACCTTTCTCAAACCTCAAGCAGAACACCATTATAACGAATCCCTTCGGCTGTGTAAAATCAATGGGAATAAGTGTCATATTACACTGGATGGGCCGATTTAGGGCGTGGTTATAAGGCTTCCAATGTATAATTACTTTTGACACGTGAAAGCTTATGGTTAGAATTGTAAACTAGGGATCAGGGTAAATGCGATTTTGTCAATAAGATACAGAGCCTACGGGACGCCTACAAAGGGCAGTCATCGCAGCCCATGGCCCATTTTTAGTGGGTGCGTTGCCGGCCTTTGCGGAAGGAGTACACTCTAACTTTGAATAGTTGGAGGTTATATCCGGGAGTCGATTCCACAGTTCGCTAGTTCGCAAAAGAAAATGCCTTGTGAAACGGACTGTGGAAGACTTCCAGCCTCCCACCGTCGGATTGGTTCGCCGGAGTTGGCAGCTGGGGTGGAATTTTGTATGCTGCCTCGACGTCCGATGATGAACTCCTCTGAGAACTCTCCATGGTAAATGCGGTAGAAGATTTAGAGTGATCCCACATATCTCCGCAATTTTTTAGTAGTTTGTGGTAATATTTATGTACACTGTCGGACTTTTTCCGAAGGGGTATGCAAGTAGAATTGTCTACTAAATTCTCTACTTCCTACATCGATCTCTATGGATATCCAGACCTATCGTTTTATATTGTCACTCTTACTCTGTTCTTAAATGATGATTTTAGGTTAAACATTTTGAGAGGAAATCTTACATTGTATATAAACGTGTAGTTATTTTTGAACATCGCATTATGAATGTGTCGATAATGTGAGTCAGTGTGTTACTTCCGGATGTGTTCGACCGCACACGTCGTAATGTGGCCTATAAATTTTTAATATAGCATTTCAAGACCCATATCTGTCGACTTGATGTAACAGTCTCTTGTTGAACCTAACTACATAGTGTGAGTAACAGTAGTTTTATTAAATATTTATATTTTAGCACCTTCAGCGAATGTTAATGAAGAATAAAATAAAAATCATTTAAAGAAAAAACTTTTTAACCGGATGAAAGTTATGTATTATTATAAATTTACAATTATTTAACATAATTTTAAATTTATCCGACGTTTCGCGTGCTTTACAGCGTGCGTGGTCACGGTGACTGAAGACAAAAGGTGTTGAATGTCAAAAAGTATCACAGCTGCAGAGAAAGTTGCATTATCTGTCAACAGATTTATACATAACTTTAATCCGGTTAAAAAGTTTTTTCTTTAAATGTGTAAAGGTTATGTCAATCAAAGACAATACTAAAAATCATTTAATTCAGACCATTATAAGTCAACATATTGATTAGTAGAGTAATACTTATAATGTTAGTAAAATTATCAAAATTATTAAAACACTTAATTCATAAATCTGCGTTGTTTTGAGGCACCAGGTACAAGGGCATGTATATGAACCCAGTGTCTCAAGCAGCGGATCGGAAAAAGATAGAAACATTCGAGATGTGGTGTTGGAAGGAGAATGTTGCGAACACCATGGACTGCAAAAAGAACCAATAAGTCCATTCTCAACCAACTAAAAATCACCACAAGACTGTCGACTATCATTTACAAACGGGTGCTTAGCTACTTTGGCCATATTGCCAGGAGAGAACCAAATAGTCTCGACAAGTGAAGGCAGGAAAAGGAGAAATGGGGGGGAAGAAAAGACAACTGTCCCACCATCCCTAATGCACTGAGACAAGCTGAGGATAGAGTGCAGGCAGCAAGTCGATGTATCACTTAGGGCTACAGCACAAGCACGACCTACAGTAATGAAATTTGTGAAGAAGAAGAGATAGCGGACTTGAATTCGTATATGCGGTGATGTTAGTTATTTGGACTATGTATTTGCGTGTTGTTCCCACGAGAATGTAAGTGCGTTGCGTCCTATTTCACCATGCCTTCTGCTGAAAGAGGATAAATCTTTGTTTTTAATTTATAAATTAACTATTAATAACTAAAGATGTCATGTGGAAAATGGAGTAATGGTTGCAGCTCCTTACAAACATTGTGTAAAACAAAAAACTTGGCGATTAAAAAGAGTGGCGGAGAGTTTATTGCCAGTTCTTCTTTTCCGTACTACGCCCTTGGTTTGAGAACTGGCAGTAAATGTAAAATTAGAAGCATTTAATATGTATTTCTTTTTTGACGTTCGTAATTGTAACCTATATGATTTTGAATTGATTAAAACAATAGAAATTGCCTTTGTGGAGAAGAGTGTACTGTTCCTCTAACTGGCCCTAAGGTCCAGAAGCTCTGTATATATGCACAGCTGGAAACGTGTCGTCATCGCAGTGATTGTAGGCTTAATATTAAGAAATCCGCTGATGCGTTGCGACGCAAGATTCGGGCAAAAACATATAACTTATGTCATAGTTCTTGCCTCTCGCTCTACCATAAACCTGCCTTTATCAAGCCATAAATCAAAGAGTTCAACGGCCGTTAGTGTAAGGTATAATATAGGCTTTTAGGCTTGCAAAGAAAATGTAACGTTTAATAAAACGTGGTGAAGGATTCCTTTGTTACCATGGTAACCGATTTTTAATAAAAAACGGGTTCTTAAATCTATGGATTGGGTTGTCATATTTTACCTTTTTTTACTTTAATATTTAACTAAGTTAACTAACAGCCGGTTTCTATACTCGATCTTTAATCTAAAATTATATCTAATCCAGATTTTCGCAAATTTAGATTGATAAATGTCAAAATTCGATCTCACGAATTCAAGGATATTTTACAAAAACGACCCATCGATCGGTTATTAAAAAGTATTTTATGACAAATGGATTGAAATATAGGAAAAATTGTTGTTCCTATCTCAGATCATTAAAAAAGGTTTGCTAACGCTTACACTTTGTATACTTAATAAGTATTCCTAAGTGAGAGAATATAGCAAACTATAAATATGCGAAATTAAAAACCGAGAAATATTAATGATAAATTGCTGATAAATATAAATGGTAAAGCTCATATTTTAACCATTAAAGCCAGTTGTTACCTAGCTTTAAACAAAGAGTTTTATTTAAACATCTCCATAATAAAACCGCCATTATACTTAATTCGTGATTCGATAAATTTACCTATGTATCGCACTCTTGCACTTTATGATAATTTTACTGTTTCACTAGGATAGTCTTAAAGACATCGTTTATTATTAATATATATAAGTTTGTAGAAAGAAATATATATAAGTTACGCTATTATGGAAGTTGAACACTTTACTAAATCGACGTTTTTTGCTAACTAACGACGTCGTTAAGCACATGAGCGCGGTAACGCCGTTACACCCGTTAATACGTTACGCTTGAGACGGAGACAGGTGTGAACGTGTGAAATTGATTTGGGTTAATGTATAAAACTAATAGTTGCGATATTTTAACAAAACGTTTCGTGACCACCCATGTGGTGAAACGTACTGGAAAGTCGAAAGTAATATTAACAATAACGCGTAATTCTAGAAGAAGAAACCCCCCCCATTTGTATATATAATACTTGAACGCTCCCTTAGCATTACTGTTATAAGATTGTGATTTCACAATTTTAAAATAATTACTAAAATACCCTGTAATTTTGATTGCACAACAATGGCGGGAGTCATCATCACTTTCATTTCTGACCCGAATGTGTTTATTGCGCAGCCCGTGGGAAAGTTTTGTATTCGTAAATATTGCGTGTGTATCAGAGGTGTTTAAAAGGACCGTTTGGGTATCGGGTTCGTTTGCCAGAGAGATAAAATAAAAATATGTCAGTGGCGATACAACATCTTTAGTTCTTGGCCTGATTTCTGAATCTGTTTCATGAACATTTCTAAATCCAATAGGCAAGTAGGTGATCAGCCTCCTGTGCCTGTCACATGCCGTCGAATTTTGGGTCTAAGACATGTTGGTTTTCTCAAGATTTTTTCCTTCACCGTTCGAGAAAATGTTAAATGCGCACATAGAAAGAAAGAACATTGGTGCACAGCCGGGGATCGAACCTACGACCTCAGGTATGAGCGTCGCACGCTGAAGCCACTAGTAGCGGCGCGTGCTGCATCCATTCCATCCTCATCAGACGTTGAGGCAGAATGCCAAATTCCATCCTTACCATCTCGACGACGTCTGGCGTTTCATTCTGCCGCGCACCACCTATTTGTGAAAACATCAGTAGAGGTATTTTCAAACCGATACGGCTTAAGAGTTTCAAGGAAAGCGTACGATTCCCTGAAAGGTCGGCAACACTCCCGCTAGCTCCCGGCGTTGCAAATGTCCATGGGCAATTATCACTTTATCTATAAAAATCGGGACGGCGGCTACTTTGTCTTGTGAAAGACTGTCTTTTTGTCTGAAGAAGAGACGAACCATTCATATGAAAAGAAATAAGATGTTTGTTAGAATTAGAAAACGCTAATTTAGTATATTATTTACATCAAGATAACAAATAACTAATGTTACTATCAAAGTCTTATTAAATATATTATGTACTAAAGTAGTATTACTATCGTTTAAAATAAACCACAGACAATTAATAAGTAATATTTAATTACAGACGAGCGGATAAGCGGTTATAATGGCGGATACAGACACCGAGACGCTGCCAAACGGCAACGCCACACTTTCAGCGGAAGAAGAAGAGAGATTGAAGCAGAGGCCAGCTGATATTGACGCTGTAAGTATTAGAAAAGTTATCATAGTAAATTCATAAATACTTCATAAAATAAATCAGTGGTGCTACCTTTCTGTCTGGGCCTCAGATTCATGATCATTTCAATCTAATAGGCAAGCAGGTGATCAGCCTTCTGTGCCTGACACTTACCGACTTTTTGGGTCTAAGACAAACCGGTTTCCTCACGATGTTTTCCTTCACCGTTCGAGAGAATGTTAAATGCATATATAAAAAAAAAGTTCATTGGTGCACAGCCGGGATCGAACCTACGACCTCAGGGATGAGAGTCACACTTTGAAGCCACTAAGCCAACATGCCTCAATCAAAAAACTTTATAGTGATGTTTATTATGGTGTATATTTACCAAAAATAATATTAATTTCTCTGTGGAGATGAAAACTAGTAGTTTCTGTGATGGCCTATCGAAAATAAATTTTAGTGCTAAAGGTTTTAGGGAGCGTTCAAGTATTACGTAACGCAATTTTTGGAGATTATTGACCCCCCCATGTAACTCGTCGTAACGTTTTTCAGTACCCAAGTACAGTACTGTACTCAAGTATAGTAAAACGTTTCGTGACCACCTAGTGACTCTTTAGTTACTATTATGTGGTGTAAGTCGAACAAAATATTAACAATAACGCGTAATTTAATCCCCGCCCCGCATCGTAACGTTTTACAAAAGGACCCCCCCAAAATTCGTTACGAAATACTTGAACGCTCCCTTGCCACCAGGTTACGTTCTCCAGGGTTTAGGGAAGCTTAAAATAAGCGGACTCATAAAATGGGATTTTGTCCCAATGAATAATCTATTGTCTCTGAATCTATTTGACAATTAACACATGTGAAAGGTCGAGATAAGTACCTATTGAAAGAAAGCTTTCTTGTTGGAGCTTTCTGAAATCGAGGTCACAACTATTGACTCGTTAAGAACAATAAAACATTCATTTTACTTGTTCTTACTTCTAAATATTGGCTAAATAGTGTAAACTCTTTATAACGAATATCAAGGTACCGCATTTTCTTTCGTTATAACGCGATTTCGTTATAGGGAGTGAACAGTACAAAATACCAAATTTAACCTATTACAATAAATTCTTTTCTTTTACCATCAATAGGTAAATTGTTCTTTTCTTTTACTGGCCATCTTGACAGTTTCAAAGTTTACGACTGATAATACACGATAGGTGACGGTGGTGCGTTTAGTAATTGAGATCAAAATTTCCTACAGGCAATGTAATCTAACAATAATGTATTATATTGTTGATGTCTTAATATGAAAATATTTATTCGTTATAGAGAATTAATGTTGCGTTATAAAGAATGAATTATGAATGGGTTTTGTGTTAAACCAAACAAATGTAACTTTAATCTCCGTTATAGCGAAAAACGTTATAAAGAGTGTAAACTGTATTTCAGGATGTTCGCGAAATGGAGCGCCGGAAGCGTGTCGAAGCCCTTATGTCTTCGAGGCTGTTCCGGGAAGAACTGGAACGAGTGTTGGACCAGCAGATGCATGAGGGGAACGATGCGCCTTTGCTGCAACGCATCAGGGAGATGGTTGGGGGCAGACTGCATACTGGGAGTTTGAGAGTGAGTAAATTTAGAAGAAAAAAAAAACTTAAATTTCAATTAAAAGAAAAATATTATTTATAAGTTCTAAAACAACGTTTATACATAAAATTGTACAAGAAAATATGACATCACAAATTTTACATACATACAACATACACTTCAATTATATTAGAACACTAGCAAGGGAAAAATTAAACAAGCAACCACAAAACAAAAAACAAAATAAGTAATAATAACTAAAAAAACTAAATTAATGAAGTACCTGTCAATATTATAAATTTCAATGTAATTTGGACTGTTGTCATAGTAGTCCGGTCCCATAAAATTGTTCAAAATATAATTTAAAAAAATTCATACACGGGAATGATGGGGAACTTTTAAATATTATTTATAATTATGTTTTGAAGAATTTGTACCGATTTTCAGCTTGTTGGGACTTTATATACCTTCGAATGTCTAAATTGACCGGACTATAGTTGGAATACGGATGAATTTGTGGACAAATGCTGTATGTATGCAGGGCAAAATGATAATAATAATAATAAATCAGTGGCGCTACAACCTCTTTAGGTCTTGGCCTCAGATTTCTGAATCTGTTCCATGATCATTTTTAAATCTAATAGGCATGTAGGTGATCAGCCTCAGCAGCACTGCACTAGGGCAAAATGATAAAGAAAACAATTTATGGAAAAGTTTAAAAATAAAATTATTAATAGTTTTTAAATGACCTTCCTCGATTCCAGGGCCCGAGCTGTGTGCTTCCCATAAATGATATTCGTGGTATCGAAGGTGTGGGTTACGAGAAGGGAGAGAAGATACTGCGTTGCAAGCTGGCTGCCGTCTACCGCCTTGTTGATTTGTTTGGATGGACGCAGAGTGAGTGTCTTTACATGAACCTCAAAAAAAGTCTTCCCTATATTTGTGTAAAGGGGCCGTTCAAGTATTACGTAATCACTTTTTACTTCAATTGACGACTCATTGGTCTAGTGGTTAGTACCCCTGACTGCGAATCCATGGGTCCCGGGTTCGATCCCCGGCTGAGACGAACATCGATGTGATGAGCATTTGGTGTTGTGCTTAGGTCTTGGGTGTTTAAATATGTATTTATATGTCTATCTATCTATAATATGAATGTATATCCGTTGCCTAGTACCCATAACACAAGCTTCACCGGCTTAGCATGGGACTAGGTCAATTGGTGTGAATTGTCTTTAAAAAAAATTAACCCCCACCCCCCTCTTGTCAGCAAAAGTAAGCAAAACTCTCAAAAATAATAGTACATAAATGTATTAATTTTTTGTAGGAATCCTCGAAAATGCCTTTCGTTTTCAAGCATAGACAATGTGTAAAAAAGTAAATAATAACTGTTGACGTAATCGCCAAATAAGAGAATCAAATACCCCCCTCCCCCCTAAAGTGCTTACGTAATACTTGAACGGCCCCAAAAACAATTTTTAGAAGCAATTTAACGATAGTTTTGTAATGTAAAAATGCTCTTATAGCTTTGTAGGAAACTTAAAAAAATGGGGGTATTTATTTTGTACTAGTAGACTCGGCCAAGCGTTGCTGTGACTAAGATTTTTGTTATATTACGTAGTAGTAAACTATTCAAGAGAAAAGGCAGGAGAACACCAATCCACCATGCTTTTTTGGTGGTTATGCCATTAAATTGTAGCTTATGTGAAACGTTGGTAATTATTTTGATAAGGATCAATACCTAGGTATGAATAAAGAGCCGTTTCTAGCGGTGGTATTTTAATAAAAAAAAATTAATAAAAGGACGCTTATTGTGACGTAACTATAAAAGATAGAGACATGCTGTCGACATTTTTTATAGATAGTGATGTGTCCTGAAAAATTGTAATACATCATTTTGTTCTATCATTAATAGTTTTCGCAGCGCACACGATTGAAGGAAGTTTTTTGTTTATTTTTTTACACCTTGGGTTAGATTATTCAAGTTTTAGTCAGCATCCCTAATTTTTTTGAAAATTAAACATAGCCTATGTCACTCGGGAATAGTGTAGCTTGCCAACGGTGAAAGAATTTTTGAAATCGGTCCAGTAGTTTCGGAGCCTATTTATTTCAAACAAACAAAAAGTCAAACCTTTCCTTTTATAATATTAGTCTATATATTTTCTAAATTTCAGCTGGTTTCACGGGCCAGATAACAGCTCGGCTGAATACGGCGGTAGAACAAGTACTGACCACGCCCCGCGGTCTGCTACCGCATGAGGTGACCGCGTCATCTCTGGTCAAAGTGGATATGCAGGGGACTGTAGTCGACCAGGGGACAACCAATTTCCCTGTTAATGTTGAGGGTGAGTTACCATGGCATATACATAGACGTCCTTTAATTTTTAATGGTTATTTAAACAATTTAAAACAATGAAGTAAGTCATTAACCAATTGAAATGTAAAAAAAAGAAAAAAAAAAAAAAAAAAAAAAAAAAAAAAGAGGAGGGGGGGGGGGGGGGGGGGGGGGGGGGAGAAAGGGGGGGAAAAAAAAAGGGGGGAAAAAAAAAAAAAAAAAAAAAAAAAAAAAAAAAAAAAAAAAAAAAAAAAAACCGCCCCCCCCCGGGGGGGGGCCCCCCCCCCCCCCCCCCCCCCCCCCCGCCGGGGCGGGGGGGGGGGGGGGGGGGGGGGGGGGGGCGCCCCCCCCCAAGGGGGGGGGGGCCCCCCCCCCCCCCCCCCCCCCCCCCCCCCCCCCCCCCCCCCCCCCCGGGGGGGGGGGGGGGGGGGGGGCGCCGGGCCGCCCCCCCCCCCCGGGGGGGGGGGGGGCGGGCGCCCCCCCCCCCCGGGGGGGGGGGGGGGGGGGGGGGGGGGGGGGGGGGCCCGGGGGGCCCGGGGGGGGGGGGGGGGGGCGGCGGGGGGGGGGGGGGGGCGGGGGGGGGGGGCGCGCGGCCCCCCCCCCCCGCCGCCGGGGGGGCGCCCCCCCCCCCCCCACCCCCCCCCCCCCCCCCCCCCCCCGCCCCCCCCCCCCCCCCCCCCCCCCCCCCCCCCCCCGGGGGGGGGGGGGCCCCGGGGGCCCCCCGCGCCTCCTTTTCCCCCCCCCCCCCGCCCCCCCCCCCGCGCGGGGGGGTTTTTTTTTTTTTTCTCCCCCAAAAAAAAACAAACCCCCCCCCGCGGGGGGGGGGGGGGGGGGGGGGGGGGGGGCCCCCGCCCCCCCCCCCCCCCCCCCCCCCCCCCCCCCCCCCCCGGCCCGCGGGGGGGGGGGCGCCCCCCCTTTTTTGTGGGCCGCCCCGGGGGGCCCCCCCCAACCCCAATTTCTCTTTTTCCCCCCCCCCCCCCCCCCCCCCCCCCCCCCCCCCCCCCCCCCCCGGGGGGGGCGCGCGCCCCCCCCCCCCCCCCCCCCGGCGCGGGGGGGGGGGGGGGGGGGGGGGGGGGGGGGCCGGGCCCTCCCCTCCCCCCCCCCCCCCCCCCCCCCCGGGCCCCCCCCCCCGCCCCCCCCCCACCCCCCCCCCCCCAAATTCAAAAATTTAGAGAAAAGGGAAAAGGGGGGGGGGGGGGGGCCCGCCCCGCGGCGCCCCCCCAACAACCCCTTTTTGGTTTACTTTCCCCCCCCCCGCGACAAAAAAAGGGGGGAAATTTTTTTTTTTTTTGTAAAAAAACAAACCAACCAAAAAAGAATACCAAAAAATTTTTATAAAAATCCTGCTCGAAATGTAGAAATAATGTGCTAGTGACAGAACTTTGGGACCAACTACGTATACTTATAATATGCTTGGTTTTAATATCCAAAAGACAACTCAGATATTTCTATGAGGGGTTTTTTAATATTTGGTGGCTTTTCGATAGAAAAACTAACCACCAGTAGCATTTCTGACTCTATTTTGGATATGGATACTGGAGTCAAGCAAATTGATTATATATTAGTTGTAATTTATACAAAAGATATTATAATATACTGCTCAAAACAATTAGCGGAACAAGATTTTTCTCCTTTCTATTGCTTAAACTAAAATTAGATTTAAATTAACTTGTACGCTATTTTTTACCTTGTTAATTTGTTAATTACTACCATTAATAAAAAAATTCAATTAAATTAATAAAAAAAATACCGTAGGTTTGAGGTAATTTATTTTGTTAAATAAAAGTTACATTTGATGTTTTAACAGTTAACTAGTTTTTAAACTTTTTCGGCAAAGAATTAATTAGGCAATTTCTTAAACTAACATTATCGTAACAGGATATATGGAGAATATTTTTGCAGAGTCGTGACTTGTGACAAAATAAAATGCATTGAGCTGAAATAATCCAATAATCTAGTATTAGATAATATTATTTGAGTAGTAATTTTTTTTAACTTTCAATTTAGTACACAAGTTTGTCATAACAAATTTGTCTTTCTTGTATTCTTTTGTTTATGAACAAGAATACAAGGAAGACAAATAAAAAGATGGGAAGATGATATAAGTAGACACCGAGAAGAGTGGAAGCTTTTAGAGGAGGCCTATGTCCAAGGACAAGCTGTATAACAGAAATTACCCGGCTTGCCGATTAATTATTACTGTTTATAATACTTTAAATTTTTATGTATAAGTATTTTACAGCAATAAAGGCTATTATTATTATTATTAGTAAAGTAACATTTATGGAAAGGTTTAAAAAAATCAGTGGCGCTACAACCTCTTTAGGTCTGGGCCTCAGATTTCTGAATCTGTCTCATGATCATTTTTAAATCTAATAGGCAAGTAGGTGATCAGCCTCCAGTGCCTGACACACGCCGTCGACTTTTTGGGTCTAAGGCAAGCCGGATTCCTTACGATGTTTTCCTAAGTGAACGAATGTTATATGCGCACATAGAAAGAAAGTCCATTGGTGCACAGCCGGTGATCGAACCTACGACCTCAGGGATGAGACGCGCACGCTGAAGCCACTAGGCCAACACTGCTCTTAAGGGAAGGTTTAGCAATATTAATTTTGTTAAATTTTATTTTAGGTTTCTCCCTTCATGCAAGCGTGCACGCAGCTCGTCCGGATATCCGGTGCGTGCTACACTTGCGTTCGCCGTCAGCTCTCGCTATATCTTCCACGAAGCGAGGTCTTCTCGCACTCTGCTCCGAGGCTGCCACACTTGGCATCTTGGCCTACCATCGAGTGCCATTGGGTGAGTTAAACACACAAATTTAGCCATAGATATGAAAAACCTATTTTTGTCTGTTGAATAGTTCTTATCGAGGAAGGTTATAGAGTATATATTGTGCATGAAGCAGGGCTTAGCTATATAATTCTTGAAGCCTTGTTGTATGTCCAAAAAAATATAAACGATTTTAAAACAAATGGTGACTTTCACCAGTATAATACGCGAAATAGAACTAATTTGAGTGTACGACCAACCAGGCTCCAAAAGATAAACCACTCCTTATATGGAAATTGTATTCGTTTTTACAACAAACTCCCAAGCGAAATTAGAGAATTATCACTAAATAAATTCAAAGCCCTCGTTAAACGGAAATTAATCAATAAAGCTTTTTATAGATTTGAGGAATACTTAAATGATCCTAATCCTTGGGATTGATTTGCTTCAGTTCAAACAATTTGTATCAAAACTTAGCGATTAAAAAGAGTGGCGGAAAGTTTCTTGCCATTTCTTCTTACCCGCTCTACGCCCGTGACTTACGAACTGGTAGTAAATGTAAATTTACAATTAATTTAACTTCTTTTTGACGTTCATAAGTACTTGTTTACCTAAATGAATAAAGATATTTTGAGTTTGAGTTAATATAGGTATTATACACATTGTTGGGTTGATAACATTTAATCTGCTTTGTAAAACATGGACTGTTGTAGACAGCCTTATTCTCGTACATAAATATCATAAACATGATAATGTCTTCATCATCAGGTCATCATCTTTAGTCCATGTTTCATATTGAGCTAAAATACGCCAATAGCTTGACAAATTATACACACATACACATTAATTATATTAGATTATAAGCAAGCTAAAATAGAAAATAATTAAAACCACACCAAAATGAAAAAATAATAACTAAAATTAAACCTCATTAAGAGCATGATAAACAAAGTTACGTTGAGTTGGAAGACTGTTTATTTATTTATTTATTCAGGAAACTAAACAGATACATCTCTATACAGAAAAAATAAAAAATTGTGCGTGTACTAGGTGTACACACGTAAGAAGTGAAACTAAGAAATAAGATCTTATTTTTCGAAAAATGATCTACTATATGCAACTTGACAGAAATTCGTTAAATTAGATAAAGTTTAACAAAAGGCTTTTATTATCATAGATATGAATACAAATATTTCATTTTACCTTATTACTACGAAGATTATTATAGAATTTCATTAATTGTAATAGAATTATTACTATCATTGAAAAACGTGACGATTTGCTACAAAATTTCTCCCATACGTCGATAAAGAAGTTTCATTCCAACGCCGATAAAGAAGTTTGACATCAAAAAGCAACATGGCGCGTAACCGAAAATGTGACGTAAGAAAAATTTACACTAAATTTTTTCCAACCTCGATAAAGAAGTTTCACTTCACAAATAAAAATACATGTAAAATATATCAATATTTTCATCATTATTACATACATGATTACTAAAATCAAGTTGTAAGAGCGAGATAGCCTATTCACTGGACCATTCAAAGTAGCAGATAAGCGAGCCGTAGGTATAGGAGACTTTTAGTTCTAGTAACTCTAGGATTACAAATTAAAATCCTTATTAAATTGCCAGTAAATATAATATGTTACATCGTTTGATTTTCGTGGCTATACATGATTCCAGTTGGTGGAAAGCCTAGTCAGCTTTTCCAAAGCAATTGCTTATTAATGTCAACACACACGGTTTTGACACACGAGAGTCATAGTTTAGGCCCCATTTTTTTTTATTAGGACCACAAAATTAGTACAAACACATGATATTAATTGACATACATACAAAAATATAAAAAGCGGTGCCGTCCCTAAAACATGTGGACACGACCAGCGAAATCAAGTTAATACAATAAACAGTCTTAATACAAACAACCATAAAATTTAAAACTAAAAACTATCTTAATATATTATATATAAATTACGTGTCACGTTGTTTGTCCGCTATGGACTCCTAAACTACTGAACCGATTTCAATCAAATTTGCACACCGTGTGCAGTTTGATCTAACTTAAAAGATAGGATAGCTTACATCTCAATTTATACCCGCAATATTATTTTATTGCAAAAACAGATGGCGCTGTGTTGAAAGTACCAACGTTTCACATAAGCTACAATTTAATGGCATAACCACCAAAAAAGCATGGTGGTCCCCATGACTGGTGTTCTCCTACCGCTTCCCTTGAATAGTTTAGTACTATGTAATATGACAAAACCTTAGCCACAGCAACGCTAGTTACTATATATATGCCCCCATGCTGGTACTACAATTTTTTTTCTGCATTCCAGGTGTCCTAGATAACGAAGAGTGTGATAAACTTGTAAGAGCCCTCGGACCGCACTCCAAAGTGCTGATGCTCAGCTGTGGAGGTGCCTTATGCTGTGGAGCCACCTTGGAAGAGGCGTTTTACCAAGCAAAGAACTTGAATACAGCATGTGAGGTCCAATTGCGTCTGGCAACACTACCGCTGGACGAGTTGAATGTGTTTGACGAAGAGACAGCGAAGCAGGTGAGAAAGTTTTTGATTTTCTGGCTTGTGATTAGCTTTGTTTTGGAGTTATTCTTCTACGCGTTAGGGAAAAATTAGAGTAAATTTTTACGATGCGCGCGCACACCGTCACAAAAAACCGACACCCTGAAGTTAGCTATAGTTAACATCTTAACTTTTTCTATTGTTACTGTCGTTTTTTCTACAAACGTAGAATAAAATGTTTGAAAAGATTTTTATCTTGTTACGCCAAAGAAGTATAACTTCTAACGCGTGTACATAAGTACAAACACGTTTTTTTTTACTTTAAAAACAAGAAAGCTCATCAATTTGACTTGTTTTTAATTCCTTTTTTTAATTGGATAATATAGTCTTAAATTTATTATGATCTATCACCTAAGCATCTGGTCTAATTTTCGTTAGTGTGTCTGTCCACAAATTTCTCAAAACCAATCAGATTTGTCGTTATTTGTTAAGGTTCATTCCTTTTCATCATTTATGATTAACATAGGTATCTTAGGGACCCGCCTATTAAGTTTCACGAAAATCGGTTTAGTAGTTGTGAAATAAGGGTATCTTCGTATATACATTTTTAAATACTGTTTGAGCTGTAAGACGTAAGTATCTCGTTATTCTCGTAAGGAGCTGCATCCATTACACATTGCTCTATGCGATAAATTCAAAGAATAACACATATAGGTGGCCCTTCAAGTATTACGTAACCATATTTACTACATCTCCCCTCCCCCTGGTCAGCAAAGGCTAGTAAAGATCTTAAATGGTATATTGTGTTGCCATATGAGTAAAATAGGCTCTAACCAGCTACGTGCAGCCAGTTGCAACGAAGCTTAGAAAAATAATCCGGCGTCAAATTCAGACAAAATGAAACGAAATTATCACCCGACTCGCTAATTTTATAAAACGCAAGGAGGCAAACTTTCAAGGTTTGCAGACTTTAACAATTCTCATGTTAAACCTTATACTACAAGCCACACACAACGATAGCGCGATGGAGCGCAACGCAGAAAACGCACAGCGCCATCCGTTGATGAATTCTACAACTAAACACAATATTGTTGTATGACGTTTGGACACCTCGAAAGAAAGGAAAGAAGAGAAAATCAAAGACCAATAGTGATTACGTAATAGTGGAACGGCCCCTAATTGAGATATTTTTTTATAGAATCAGGTGAAAATGGGCAGGCGGCTCCCTTGATGTTAAGTAATATAAGCCCATGGGCACCCAATGAGAGAGCTCGAGTGCGTTGCCGGCCTTAACAATGTTTTTATTAATTACAGATCTACGATTCCACCCACAAACCACCAGCTGATGAGAAGAAATGGCGTGTTGGTGGAGAAGAATTTGAAGCTTTGATGCGAATGCTGGACAATGCTGGTTTCCGTACAGGGTACATCTATAGACATCCTCTTGTTAAGGTAATTAACTGTAGAAAGAAAATATGCTTGTATATTATTGAATATAAGTATTGGAATTCCTTAATATTCAATATTTAACGATTTTAATATCTTTTTGGTACTGGACAGGTAATAGAAATAAAGAAACGTGTGGCACTCGGGGACTGCCGCGGTAAAGCTATTGCATAATTTTTTTTTCAACTTATGCAATTATAATTATTTATTTATGCAGCATTTTTTTTTCTTTGATATTAATTCAAGTTTTTTCTTTAATAAACTAATTCAATCTACCACTCTACCAGACTCAGACTAACTCGCCTATATAGTCTCGTCTCACTCTAACGCGAACCGGCTGCACCGATCTCGTCAGAGAGATGTGAATACGCAGTATGCGTTCTGTCCCGCTCTAAAGCGTAAGGTTTTTTTGTTACGGAATTTCTGGATTCGGTTTCCACGCTCGAGGCCCGCGATAGAAGCTATGCAATAGCTTAAAAATAATTAAGAAATAATCTTCATTTACAATTACAATCAAATTAATAGCTCTTAATGTATATTTGATTTAGGTAAAATATAAACTTTTATATTTGTTGTAAGCCATATCAGGGTACCATACCTTAGATTAATAAATGGATAAAAAAATCATTTATTGAAATAAAAACTTACCCCAGACACCGCCCTTTGTCTTTTCCAGCATTTCCATATCATGCCTTCGTTTTCATCCCTTTTTATATCCACCTTTTGTCTCATTTCTTCTTTCTCTTATTAAATGTCCTGTCCTATTAAGATATGATCTTAAGTTGTTTTATTTATAATTTTATTTTTCTTAATGAGTTTATATTCTTTTTAGAACGACGTGCCCAAACCGAAGAACGACGTAGAAGTACCACCGGCTGTCTCATCTCTGGGATATCTTCTAGAAGAGGAAGAGTTGTACAAGCAAGGGTAATAAATGGTTTTACCAAGTATTTTTATTACTATTCATGCTATGCGTGATCTATAGAATTTGTACCCACTACAATGGTTCGTTCTCTCCGTCGTTTTTAAATAGAACAAAAGGTGAGGGGTACCGGGTTCGATTCCCGGTTCGAGGGCAAGTTTTAATTTAATTTAAATTTGTTCTCGGCCTTTGGGAGGGTTGTGCGGTACCGGGCTAGTGCTTAAACCGTACATGGAGGACATGGACGAATTTCTAAGGCAAAAAGCACGAATTATAAAAATCTTATACTTGACGCTGGCTAATGCACAAACCGTGTCAGAGCCATAAAAAAATATATATATATATATAAATAGAATAAAGGCCGCCAAAATAAAATATTCCGTAAACAGTCACACATACGTACCAATATATTTTACTGAGCCGTTCATGACATTTCTTCTCTCATTTAGATATACATTTTTATGTTGCTACCTAAACAAATAAACTTGATAACGATGTTCAGTTTATCTTAGACGGTTGAACTGAAAAGTTATTTACCTTTTGTGCCTACATTTTATTAGATATAAATATAGTTTAATAAAAGCATTGTTAAAAAAACAAGATTTATGTTCATTACCATTTTCAGCCTAAATTAGGAATTATTTGTCACTTTTTAGTTTGATGTGCTTTAAAAGCGTGACTTTTTAGTTGTTGCCTACATTTGATTAGAAAAAATAAATTTCATTGTTTTTCAGATAAACCTATGAAATTATTATATTTTCGCTGATTCTTTATAATGTACAAAGTTTGAATTAAATCTTCTTTAATGGTAAAAGGGGGGGGTAAAAAAAAAAAAAAAAAAAAAAAAATAAAAAGATCGAGTAATATATGGGCCGCCATTGATTATTTGAGCCAATTTACACAGGGGTAATTTTTGATGTCGGTGCCAGAAATCTGTGTATAACTACTATGATCTTAAATATCTTTACATAATACAATTTTTAATAAACATTCGAAAGCCCTGGAGATGTCTAAGTCGATGAATTTCTTGAATAGTATGTATACTGACTTCAAAATTTTCTTAAGAATTTTGAAACCCTTTATATAATATAAAGTAATTAACACGTACTTAATACATTCACTTCTAGACAATATTTCATTACTTCTTCTTCCTCTCTGGTTCTCTCTTTTTATTTTCTAAATAAAGGAATTTGTATTGCGGTGTGGTTCCGATGTTAGTGGCCTTAGTGGGTTTTTGTACTTTTAATTATGTTAAAACAATATTAACCGAAAACATAAATTTATCTGAAAACAACGCCGGCAGAAATATTATTAAAAGTTTTTTTGTGCATTTTGAAGTCGGTAATACTTTTAAGGAAATTTATCCTATGAAAAGTAACGTATTCTCGTCTAAAGTGAGTCTATAAAATTATTTCCCTCATGAAGCACTTTCATCATAAACTGTCGATCATTACAGGATATGGAAGAAGGGCGGCAAGACAGGTGAACGCACCCGCTGGCTGAACTCGCCGAACGTGTACCAGAAGGTGGAAGTCCTAGAGACAGGAACCACTGATCCCAAGAAGATCACCAAGGTAGAATATTTGAGGGTTGAGGCCGAATAAAAATCTCAGATAGAGACACCATTTTTGACATCACAGTAAAAAAAATAGTCTCGCTTTTTGAAACTTATATAATAGACAAAAGTAGTCCACTGTTTAAATTTCTAGATATTCACAATTCAGATGCAAATAAAAAAAATCGATTTAAATATAAAAATCTGAAGATTGTCAAATTTTAGGGGGTTTAACCTTATTCATTTCTATAACAAAAAGTCCGTTGACGAACTTGGGGAAGTAAAATTAATCGATTTCACGTAGTAAAGGCTTTCTACATTTCAACTCGGTTAATTTTAATAAACAAGAGTAGATTTCTAACTAATAGAAATTGGTTTAAGATTTCGAGTGACAAAATTATTCAAAATATTAAATTCTTTAGCAATTAAACATAGCATTGATGCCAACATTTCTCACCAAGTTGTTAGAAATGTCAAATTGGTTTGATTACAATTAAAAAAAAACGCAAAAAATTGAAATTTCATATCTCGCAGCTATATTTTATTCAAATTGTTTGCAGTCGAAGATTATAAACAATAAAAAGACAAAAGTTAATACAAAAAGGATAGTAATATGAAAATACGCACAAATTGGCATTCGTTAACAAAGTTTAATAATGTATTTTCAGTTTTCTTAAGGCTTAACATGCAAATAAATATTATTTGATATAGCAACCCTGCAGACTGATAAAAAAGGTTTTGGACAAACGCGTAATTGTTAAATATAAATCATATAAAAAAAATGTTTTTATTGTCTACATAAATCACGTATTGTACTATCTAGTACGTATGCAACGTACGCGTGTACGTACGACACGAACACATGTACGTACGATATTTAATATTTTATTTTTAATATCACATATTGTAGTGGCATTTATGTATGCGTTTTGTTGCACAGTATATTCTAACCTTATAGAATGTAATTAAAAATAATACTTTTTTAATAACGAATTAAGAACAGCGTGGGATTTCCCATATAACTGGTGTTTTATTTATAAAGGCCTATAGCATATATAGTCTTGGCTTGATTGGTTATATATTTTTTCGATACAAATATTTTTGTACGAAATCAACGAAAACAGAGCGATCTTTCTTTAGAAAAAATAATATATCGTACTTTGGGATATATAAATAATTTTGATTATGGTGTTAAAACAATAAAAATGGGTCTATTAAGCTCATTTATTTATTTATTTTTCATTATTCGTTGTCAATCAGAAAAAAGCATTTATTTACTGTGCAACATTCGCATTATCTATAGTAATTTGTATTTACTCGGTTGTATATTTAATTGAAATTATGATTGTTATTTAATGTAGCAACGAAACAGATTAATATATTAGTTTTAAGAATATTGGGGCCCCATTTTGTATATTGAATAGATATTTTTATTTTACAATTAATAAAAATTATATCTGTCCCAACGTTTTGTGTGGTTTTTAGCTTAGCACAGCCTATACAGTTTTACAACTCGAACATTCCATACAGTTTACTACACCCCACGAAGCGCTGCTTCATACAAAATGTATCGTGTCAACTATTTCATTTATTTGTGCAAAGGGTAGTCTCAAAATAATTTATTTCGTACGTCTAAAACGTACAGAACCTATGTACGTACTCGTATGTGCGAATTCATTTAAGAGTTAAGACAGAAATTATTGTCGTTGAAATGATGATATTCATTGAGGAAAAAATCGAGATTATTTTAGACCCGGCCAACTTTAAAGTGTCACTCTTGAAGCCTAAATAAAAAATACGTTTGGGGCCCCATTCCTAATCTTTCAGTTAGTGTGTTGACACTATAGCATTCCTTATTGTATCACAAAATGGTCGTCGCACATTTTAATTAGATTTTTAATTACACAACAAACATAAAAGCAAAGACTTTTATCAAAATTGTTCTGTATCGCGTTGATTTCTCGTGAGTTTATGATATTGTGATCTACCCTCTTTTTATAGCCAAATGAGGGTACATAAAAATAAAGAAATAATTATATATTGAAAATGTGCGACGATCATCTATTACTGTAAGCTCAAAAAATCTTTTCAAGTCATAGGTTTAAGCGTAAAATTATATATTTTAGTGTAATAACGCCTTTGTGTGTTTTTTGTTTTCGTATAAAATCTCTTAGATTTATTTTGGTGAAATTATGAAATACAACTACTGAATCCAGTAAGCATACAATCAAGGATGACACGTCCAATCGGTTTGACAGCTGTCACTGTCAAAATTCGCATCTGCATGAATCTTAAGATCTGTTCTGCAATTTTCTGAATGTAAGATCCGCTAATAAGTCACCGAAGTTCTTCCTAAGACAATCCCAAATCATCACTTTCATACTTTTTGCTATACTTTGTGAAGCTTATTTTTTGATTGAGTTTTATGTTGACATTCAATTTCGAACTTCCTTCAAAGCCTGCCTGATCGCTGACACATGGCGTTCGCTAAATATGATTTTGTTGTTTAAAATGTAACTTATACACACAAAAACTACGCTAGCCGAATGAATTTCTAATCTACAGAGGCTACTAGGTAGTTTGGCATGACTCTGAGGTTACAAAAACTAACACTGACACAAGCTCAAACTCAAAATAACTTTATTCATATACATTATGTAACCAAGTATACTAATGAACCAGAAAATATGTTAAATTGTTTCTAAATTTACATTTACTACCAGTTCGCAAGTTAAGAGCGTAGAGCGGGCAAGAAACTCCGCCACTGTTTTTCATCGCCAACTTTTGAGTCATACAAGCACATCGCACACTTATAATAACTCTCAGGTACACTCTCAAGTACATACACACACACACTCACGTATACTTAATATCTTATAGGAATTGTGTTTGATTAGTTGCAACACTTCGGCTAGTTTTTGTATTGCTTTAAACATCCCTAGTGTCGGAAGTAGAGTTTATTTATTTATTTAGTTATCAAGCCCACGACATCACACACAGTCCTAAATCTACCAATTATTTCACAAAATCTTACATCCAAAATGTGCGACAATCAACGCAAGCATAAGTTTCTCAAAAAAAATCAAATAGAAATTTAAAAAAAAAATACAACCAAAACACACACGACAATACACACATTAACATAAAATAATTTTTTTTTACCATAAACATAAAATAAAATAAATTTTTTTGGTTTTAAAATTGGCACTAAGCAGAAAAAAAAGAAAAATCATCAGAAAAGCAGCGAAATTAGGTTCGAGAAAAATGGGGTGCCTCCACAATGCTTTCTCTAAAACCGATCAGCCCACTACCGAATATATCCAGCTCCGGATAAGCTGTGTTCAATTTGTTAAAATCACGAAGAATTCGAACGAGAGGTGCCTGAACTCCTAGGTTAGAGTTAGATGAATTTTGTCACAACCATATTTCTATTCTGAATATAGTCTTTATTATTATTCTATTTAAAGTCAAGACTGTCATTCAGAAATGTCAGTGTCACTTGTCAATTGTCACGAATGATAGGAGGTTTAGAGTGATGGAGATTTTATACGAAAATACGCTTAAAATTGTGCTTATAAAAATAAATATAAATCTAAACAAAATAACATCTATTTTTTCGCTCTCAAATGAAATGCTTTTGATATGTTTTTTTTGTGTCGTGTGACTAATTGAATAATGTTTTGCAGTGGGTCGACGCTAACAACGAAGAGGTACTGTGTTAAATATTTTTAAACTATCATTCTTTGAGCAGACCGTTAAGTTTTTTTATGTCATTTTTTTATCGGGTATCGAGTTACCGAGAACTATATGTAGGAGTATGAATTTTTATTAATTTAATAAATATTTTGGTATAAATGTTTAGAAAAATGAAAAAAATTGTTTTGAAAAGGAGGAAAACTGATACTTTGACTGAATTAAGAGTTCAGAATTAAAGAAAATAAATCACTTTTCGTTCGGGAAGTGTTAGAAAAAAACCGTAAAATCGATACGTGAGATCGTGTTTTGTTTATTTTATTCATGAAATATCATCCATAATTTCATTGACATATTAAAATGGAATATTTTGTAATGTAGGTCAAAATTTGATACCCGTTTGCACTAAACTTATTCTTTATTACGCTTAGATTAATTTATTGGTTACCATAGTTACGGGTTTCTCGTAGTAATGGTAATAGGTATATTTTTTTAAGGCAAATCGAAGCATACGCTGTCGTCTCTTTCTGTCTAATTGTGTTCACGCTGTGATGGAAAGAGACAGCAATAGTGTAATAAGACTGATTTTGTTTTTATGTAAGCACGTAGGTGTATAGCATGATCGTAACGGCAAGATTTGTGTATTAAAATACATTTTAGTAAACAAATTTCAATTTGAATTTCTTATGGAAGATAATACAGCCTTTGAGATTATACTTATGGGTGATTCAAAGTTGTATTGAAAGTATAGATACTCCAAAACTTCTTGCATATCGCGATCATGGAATGGACCTGTAACAGTTGGAGGAAGTACTAACACAATAATATAAATAACATGTTCAGTGTAAACGGGTCAATATTAAAATGCGGCACATATGGCATTTAATTTGGCAAGAGTCGCATGCGCATAGAGTCTGGATAATGAAAGAAGATAACAAAAAAGCGCGGCAAATTAAAAAAAAAATTAGTATGGTATCCCTAAAAGTTTGATATATTTTGTGGATTAAACTCCTTGAGGCTTGATTTTATTTTATGATTATTTACATTGATAGTAACTGTATTTCTATGAAATTAAATACTATACGTATTTAGTCTTTTACTATTGATACTTAAAATGACTAGCATTACATGGAAAACTAAAGCTATATTTATTATAAATCACAACTTTATTCGGAATAATCAAAATCAGAATCCAAAAAATCAATAAAACAAAGTTTAGGCTATTATACCTGTTAAATATTCGGAAAAAATATATAATAGAAATAAAAATGAGTAATTGCATGAAGTATCAAGACAATAAATCATAGTAACCTTAAGAAATTCAATGACATTCTGTGTTGCCATCAGAAAGTTTTCAAATAATTCAATTATCTTCTTTCATTAGCCAGACTATACAAATCTTAGCGCTAATATCTACCAGTCGTTATAAGACAAATCGTTGCAACTACGGCTCGTAAATAGGGCCGTTCACTGTCTGTAGATATATGGATGATTTCCCTAAGCAGATTTAAATTACAATATCAATCTTGCCAAATTGGATGACATTTGACATAGGAAATTTGACAGTCAGCTCTCTTTCTCTTCTCTTGGTATCGGGACTCTTACGTTGCGTCTTAACATAACATTAGCATTTCATTAATACCCTGGTTTTTGAATGAAATATGTAAATTTTATTCTACATCGAGAATGTACAGTGTAGGAAAAGATTTGAATTGATTGAAATGTTGCCATCCTCTCCTTGCGTCCCTGCTGATATTCTTTTGTTTTCGATTCTTTTGTTTTTTTTTGCATGGGGATTGTTATACTGTACATGCTCGATGTCGACCAGGTTTCTCGCTTTCCTTTCCTCGCTTAAGGCAACATTTTGAATAATTTGAATCTTTTTCCTAAGTGGGTGCAAGATGGCTCTCCTGCGCACTCGGGTACACCTGTCAAAATCGACACACTACAATTTGTGCCTAAAAACACAAATCCCAAGGAGTTTAAGCAGTTGCAGCAGCAGGTATGTGAAGGTTTCTATTCATTTGAAATAATTCAACAGTAAAATGTGTAGATTTTTAAAAAATATGATTTGTTAAAGAATCATTAAGTGTTAATGATCAGTCGACTCTCCATAGTTTGACAATAGACCGGATATACATTTAAAATTACCCAGATTTAAAAATAACTAGCGTTCTAGCTAGAGGAGGGGGCTCAAGACTCTATAATAATAATATCATTATTATTAATAAATGAGCAGTGTTGGCCTAGTGGCTTCAGCGTGCGATTCTCATACCTGAGGCCGTAGGTACGATCCCCGGCTGTCCACCAATGGACTTTCTTTCTATGTGCGCTCGAACGGTGAAGGAAAACATCGTGAGGAAACCGACATGTCTTAGACCCAAAAAGTCGACGGCGTGTGTCAGGCACTGGAGGCTGATTACCTTCTTGCCTATAAGATTTAAAAATGATTATTAAACAGATTCAGAAATCTGGCCCATCTGGGCCAGATTTCTAAATAGGTTGTAGCGCCACTGATTTTTTTTTTTTTTATTAATAAATAATAAACAATTAAATACAATAAAAAAAATATTTCGAAAGAGGACATGATATTTTTTTAAAGGAAAATCTTCGGTCTCTTATTATTCAAAGATTTAAAAAAAACAATTAACTAATCTGTGCAAGATAAATGCTTCAATAAAATGTAGGGAAGCCCGAATTTGTCCCCACCAATTAACATTGATTTTATTCAAGTTATCGAGAGTCGACTGTAGATTGTTTCTAAAAAATCATTTGAAATAACAATTGAATGATTCTAGTTTTATACACACCACATCAGAAGTTCAGCAATGTAACGGTTTATTTGTGGTTATAAATTTGATTTGCGGCATATCCCATTGAGTAGATGTTAATAAAATATCTGTTATCATTGTCTAAAATAGTTATTAGTATTTAAAAATAATATTTTCCCTGGAACTTTGAAACTTGAGTTCAAAAAGAAAATAAAAAAAAAATCTACCTTATCCATTTAATACCAATTGCGTTAATTATTTTTTATATTTGAATATTTCATTCAATTTCATTTATTATATTGCTTTGCATGGCATTTGACAGGTTGTGTCAGATATTTTAATATAATTCGCACGTTTAGATTAAAGAAAATCGACGCGCTGACAAGATCAGTGCAGGACCGCAGTCGCATATTTTGGAAGGAGTGACATGGGATGAAGCCGCCAAGATGGTTGGTGAAGATGCTGCAAACACGCATACTGGAGATCATGTTGTAAGTGTCTATTATGAGATCTTTAAATGCGATACTTAAAATGACAGAATTTAGGTTTATTTATTTACACTTCGTTACATTAATAGAAACACAAATAAGATAATACATAAAAATTATAAGGAATGCAACGGCCGGCCCTATCGCTAAAAAGCGATCTCTTCCTGGCAACCTTCGTAAGGAAAATACTAAAAAAATATATGTTGGATAAAGTGCAAGAAGTGCAAAACCAAATTTTATTAAAAAACTAAAAATTGAAAAGCTAATCTCACTTATTCATAAATTGCGATCCATTACATGAATTACAAAAGTCACGATTGAGCAGGATAGGATATGGTTAAGAAATGATTATGTAGAAGAGTTTTAGAAAGATGTTAGGGAGGTGGCCAATCGTATGGAGTCGGGCAGCCAATTCCAGGACTTAATGGCGGATATCCTAAACGAATTGCGTAAGAAGGATGAGCTGTGAGGTGGATTTTCCAAAAATAATCTATTAGAGGAACGTAATATATAATTAATATGTCGCAGCCATCTAGCTTAGTTAGCCGTTCAATTAACAGCCTAGCCTTTTAACTAAACAGCGCCGTTTAACTAATGGCCGTAGCGTTTGTTACAACATTTAATAAATTGGCTGGATAATGCTTAGGCCATTCGTATGATTGTCATTCATTGGGTCATTATTTGTCAGAAATAAATAAGATAAACATATGACATAAAAATATTTCTTTTAAAATTAAATTGCTTAAGTCAAATTCACTTTATTATTGTCACAATACTCTTACATTGTTTATAAATCCTTATATATATTTCGCAGAAAACTAACTTATATATAATAAGGATAGAAGGTTAGGGCATCTCCAAAAAAATCTTGAAAACGTTTTCACGCAAATATTAGACTACAAATTGATAAGGCTGTGTTGGCCTTCAGCGTGCGTCTATCATCCTTGAGGTGTCATATTGTCTATGCAAAACATTGAACGTGATTACGGTAAAGGAAGACATCGTGAGGAAACATCCAGATATCGAGGTGTGTCTATAGTACGGGAGGTAGCAACGTTTAAAAAAAGAATTTTAGGTCAGCTGATTTTGTGATATTCTTCCTTCTTCACTTTCGGTTAGATTGGCAATTTGGGGTAGGGTTGGTTCATTAGTCATCCTATCTTTAATAATCTATTTTAAAAGCATTTTAAGAAGCGTAATTTTTAATTTTTCTTTTTAAATAAGTCTACCTGACATACTTTTTTATTGCCAGACATTTTTCAATTGTATTGAATCATTTTAATTTTTTTATAAAAATTTCAAATATTTTAGAATGTCTTAATTTTAATATTATTTCTTTAAATATAAGAAAAACTAAAATAATTTGCCAACATTAATTGGTTTTAATCTTAATTAAAATAAAAAGTATTGAGTATATGAAGATTGCATTTTAAAACGAATTTTTAATTTTCTTTTTAAATAATCTACCTACATATTTTTTATTAGACATTTTTCACATTGCTAACTATTCCAACATTTTAATTTTTTTTTTATAAAAATTTCAAATATTTTAAATTCTTAATTTTAATATTATTTCTTTAAATATAAAAAAACTAAAAATGAATTTCCAACATTAATTATTTTAAGTCTTAATAAAATAAAAATATTATATATTATTATATAGACTCTAAAATAAAAAAACATATAAAAATCACTATAAAATTTTTTTTTTTAGTACAGAGGGTTGGTCACCTACTTGCCTATTAAGAGAAATGATCACGAATAGTTACCATCAAAATCTGGGGCCAAGACCGAGCGCCACAAATTTTATATCACCAGATTGCCTCTTAAGAAATCCTCTAAGCAATGTATTAATTATCTTCAGGTGCTCATGGGCGCAGCATCGAAGGGTATCATTCAGCGGGGCTACCAACACAATGCAACTGTGTACAGCGCACCATACGCCCGTAATCCATTCGATCATGTAACCGACACCGAAATTGATGAGTACCGACGCATTGTTGAGCGCAAGCAGCGTAGCGAGTGTAAGTAATATTTTATAATAATATTATGTTAAAAAAATATAGACAAAATAATGAAATTAAAAATAATATTTTGCTAAATTGATTAATATTATCACTGTCAGTCAGCGAACATAGGAACGTCCCAAATGATGTCGCAGCGGTTCCAACAGACCTAGTTGGGTAGAACCTCTAATATAAATTACTAGCTGACCGGGCAAACGTCGTTTTGCCATATATATCATTTATAATAAAAAATAGGGGTTGATCGTAGAGGGGTGAAAGTTAGGGGGTTGTATGTATTTTTTTAATGCTGTATCATAAAAAAATATATCTAAAAATAAAAAAAAATATTTAGGGGTGGACTACCCTTAACATTTAGGGGGATGAAAATTAGATGTTGTCCGATTCTCAGACATACCCAATATGCACATTTCATGAGAATCGGTCGAGCCGTTTTGGAGGAGTATGGCAACGAAAACTGTGACACGAGAATTTTATAGATTTAAATTATATAGATCCATGGGTTTAAAAAAACCCTCAGACATCTTGATTCCACATAAATTTGGAGGGAAACCCACCAAGTTGGCATTTTATTTCACGTTTACCCGTGCGGGTAGCATACCGTTATAATAAAATAATTAAAAACGCCTAGAATGGTCTAAGCCTGGACGACCAATACAGTTTTCTATAGACGTTTAACACATGCTCGTTCGGTAATAATGTCGTGAGGTTTTCAAAATTTATCAGAGGGTTGATCACCTACTTGTCTTAAAATATCAAAGAAACAGATAGGAACTGATGCTTTGACCTATATGGTATCTTCAAAAATTTACGTGTCAGGCTGATCATCTTCTTATATAAATGTGGTGAAGGAAACAGATGTTAGAAAGTGTCGTGGTATTGAAACCATGGAAACTCAAACTAACTTTATTCATATAGGTAAACAAGTACACTTATGAACGTCAACAGAAAAGATGTTAAATTGATTCTTAATTTACATTTACTACCAGTTCGCAAGTCAAGGGCTTCGAGCGGGGAGAAGAACTGGCAATAAACTCTCCGCCACTCTTTTAAATCCCCAATTTTTGTCATACAAATTGATTGTAAAGCAGAACTGGAGCAAATTAATCCCGAGAATTAGGATCATTGAAATATTCGTCAAATTTATAAAAAGCCAATTTTAGTCCGCGTTTTCTATGAAAAGGTTGGGTAAGATCTTGACTTATGTATGAATCAATAATTTTAATATTACAGATGACACTGACTTATCCGAGTCGGAGGCGATAAGCGCCGCTCAAATCACTTCGCCGGCCAGTGCTCCCTCTGAAACTGAAGAAGAATCGCGAGATGGTAAGTCATTTGATCACTCACTCACTTTAACACGATGCGAGTCCGAACTTCTTTCGTTCCTTATACGGTCTTAGAGCTCGGCTTGAGTTTTAAGCGTCGTTTGAAAATATTGTTTATAATAATAATAATTTATTTATTGCAAGAATATGGTACAAAAATGGTAAGGTGGTACAATCGTAAATCGTTCGCATATTCTGCCACACACAATGGCGCGCAAATTTGTCTTAAGGAATTTTACATTATTAGTCAAGGTCAATTCTTATATCGCGTGTCTCACGCAAATAATCATTTATTGTAAATTTTTTCCAAAAGTAATACACTAAGTCGCTTTTTAAAGACTCTAGGAAGATCTTTTAATTTACTAATATTAAAAAATTTGCTTATTTTATGACTTCTATTTTCAGAGCATCGTGTCCTCAGAATAGAGACGAAACAAGCTCCAGTGAGGAGCCAACCTGAAGTGGTATTGAGTGATGGTGAGTTCTTTGAAATTCAGACATTTTCTTTAGAAGTTTGATGTAGGGAGACCCTTTTTTCATTGTTAAACTGTATAATAGCCATTAGTGGTTTTTGGGTTTTTCATATAAGGATTGAAATGAATTTCTCGTAATCGTTTTGGCCCTTATTTTTTTTTTAATTAAATTTAAAATTCACAAAATCTGTTGAAAACGTTTGTTGAATTTCATAATAATGATTGATTCTTAACTAAGTTATGTTTATAGTAACATAACTTAGTGAACATGAGGGTAGTTACTAAAAATTTATTTCAATGTTCCCAACGTTTTTTTTTTAAATCACTTAATAGTGCATTGGATTGATTTAGAATGTTTGCATGTTTGAATGTATATTTCCTTGTAGTTGATACAACCGATTTCTTGGCTGCCGAACGCGACCACGCCGATAGGACTAGAGGTTAGTTTTTATGGTTTAAAACACGAATACTACCCACATTTTTTTAAATTTTAAGTGGTGTATAGGCAGACTTTTTTTTATAAAGTAGTCTTTACCACAGAATTTGGAAATAACGCATTAGTATTCTAAATGTATTGAAAGTCTCTTCCAAAAATTATAAATTGCAGCAATTATATAACGACCGTGGTCTGAACCAGATATGAGTTTCATAGATCTTTTTTCTATTAGTTTTGGGTCAGATATTCCGATTTTTCTTGAGTGCACGAGCTAGTGTAAATGATGTGCACAACCTATGGCTAGAGTTTTTGGGTTGACAATTAAAGAGACTTTAAGTCCTTCTAAAGTAAACATTTACTTGAATCTGAAGTATTTCCGAACCAATTCGACTTAGGGTTTCAAGAAAAGAGCGTACCAATTCTTAAAAGGCCGGCAACGCACTCGCGAGCCCTCTGGCATTGAGAGTGTCCATGGGCGGCGGTATCACTGAACATCAGGTGAGCCTCGTGCCCGTTTGTCTTCTATTACTTTAAAAAAAACCCGAAACGCATGCATGAAGATTATTAAAAGCATGTTTTTGAGTTTTTTGCTACGTTCATTGCTACACAGTCTATTTCAATAGTTGGTATCCATAAGCAACATTTTTAAAAGGCCGGCAACGCGTGGGACAACTTGTATATATGGGTCGCGTATAGTATTTTGTATTAAAAACCGATTATAAACATAAAATTGGATGTAATCTTAAACTGTGCTAAAACATTTCGCAATCGTAAGATTCTCTTCCACTTTATTTGGATTTTGAAAGTGTAATTTTAACAAAGATTCGAACCTGCTCTCTGATGATGAGGTCTTCTTGGATTCGTCTTCCATTCCGTCTGGTGTTACTTCCCCAAGTATCCCAGAAACATCGATTATTCCCGAACACGTGATTGTTCGTACACAGTACGCTGCCGTTCAGCAGACTGTGAAAGGTAGGAGGGAGATGGGTATATTTGTTTGTATGGGGACGTTTATGTGAGTAAAAGAGATGTATAGCGGGAGCTGTGCAAGAGAAGGCGAGCAAAATATGTCTTTGTCTGAAAGAGATATGAACAACTGACATGGCAAGTTTAGTTTGTGTGAAAGAGACCATTATACATCGCAAAGGAGTATTTTTACTTTGGGTACCTGGACGCAGTACATCAAAAATCATCGTAATTTCAGTATGAATGGGAATTGATTTGTTTTACTGTGATGTCTTCGTTGTTGTAGCGTCTACTCATTCGTTGTTCTTGTGTTTATTTTATGTAAAGGAGATTTTTTGCTTACAAAATGTTGTTACGTATTAAATAGTACAGAGATACCAGTGTAGAGTACCAGTGGAATATTGAAGTGTATATATTTTTCTACTAATCGTACGTTATATATCATACAAATTTAGTGTTTTGGCTGACGTGAACTCTTAATGCAACAGTATTGATTTCCCTGTGTTCGACATTGGACCAGAGATAGATTGTGATGGCGACATACTTGGGGAGGCTAGGGGCCCATATGGGACAGTACAGCCATTGATGATCATGATTGACTTTACCTTATAAAATCAGTTAATGTTGTGTTAATGTTAATTATATGTACGCTGTAAAAGAGGGACATGCTTAGGTTAAAATAATAACTATGTACGTTTTGTTTTGTGTTCATAACATTATTCTTCTTGTATGCACGCTTGGGCATTGCTTGATAACAAACATTTCGCTACAGGTACAAAGCTATCACCGCACGGCGCTCACAAACGCACTCTTCACAGCTTTCCCCGAAGTCCTAATTTTAACCATATTGTACAAAAATACGAAGGACCAAAATGTAAACTAAATCTTAACCAAAAATTAACAGGTGCTGATACTATAGCCGTGTATAAAGACACTGTCAGTTGTTCTAGTACATTTTCTTTACAATCCCTAGATTCGTTTCCTAAATATCATATGCGTACTAGGTCTTTGCCAAGAAAACTAAAAAATGAATTCACATCTGTCTACAGAACAAGGTCCCATGGCGCGTTCGTTAACTCATACATGAACAATCCTGAACCCGAACACTTCCATGTACCAAAATGTGACAGCTGCGGCTCCATAAATAATACATATGCATGGGAAATGCGCAAAATTGACCCAAGATATAAACAATACGGGTCATTATATTATTCTATTGATAACTTAGCAAACGGCGTCGAAGAACTTACGTTCGACTCAAAACCAAACATTACTAAAACATGTGATGAGGTACCAAGACTTGATTTGAAATGTGAAGAGGAATTCGTTGAGAGTCAAGAATTTAATGAAGATAACTATTTCGATGATGTAACCAACTGCTTATCTCAAAATGACATAGAAACAACTGAAGTTCAACGAACTGAGGACGCAAAAACTGAGGGTATTTTCAGAGCCGAATATGTGACAGTTCAAACACAGACTGACTTCAGTTATAACACACTTGACTCCGAAGGTGAATACCACAGCTTTACAGAGGATATGTTAGAAGATATTGATGCTGTTGTATATGAAAGTCCAGTTAAAAATCTCGTCGACAAAGATATAAGAGATTATTCAGTACCAATTAACTTCTACTGCGAAGAATATGGTAAGAAAGACAGCCCAAGAGTTTCTCCGTTAAAAAAGAAAGAAGCTCCTAAAAATAATATATTAGAACCTATTTTGGAGGAATCCAAAAGTTATGAAGAATCAACCAGTGACAGCAATAAAACACAACACTCCGAAACAGATTTAACCGACCCAAAGATTGTACCAAAAAACGAAGAAATAGATACACATTCTTTTTTTGATGATTTTAAACGACCGAAAGAACCACCTAAACGCGAATCCTTACTGCAAAATGATGCAAGATCTAGTTGTGGAATGAGTACCATATCACTCACTAGTTTCGATTCTACAGCTGAATTTGAAAAATTGGAAGCAGTTACAGAAGTAATAGATTTAATCTTGAGTAAGATAAATTTTGATGTTTATCGTAATGAAAATCTATTTGCGAAAAGCATTCAAGACACAAACAATGAACCGAATGAGTTATTTTCTATAACTGATATTATTAGTGATATCGAAAATAATGTTCTAGATTATACACCTGTTGATATTTCCGACTCTTTCATTACTGATTCGTTAAAAGTAGCTGAAGCAGTTTTGTATTATATTTTTAATAGAGCTGTGTGTTCGAGTCATAGCCGGAAATCAAAGCAGATAACTAAAACAGTTATAACAATTGTTGATGTTGAAGATATTTTGCTAACAACATCGCGGGAGTGGATGGGGATTTTTCATGATTTCACTTTCATTGAAAGAGATGTAATAGAAGATAAACGTGATACTAATAACAAAGACATAAAACCGTTCGACAATAAGTCTGAAGAAGTATATATACATAATATGAGTCACGGTGTACCTCTGTATTTAGACAACATAGGCTCAAATACATCTGACAGCAATGAAGATTTACCCTTTTATGGAAATGACAGTGACGTTCCTGATTGTCCACCAGACGCAACACCTAAAAGTGAAAATAATGAAAACTCTGATAACGATGAATTCAATTTGAATGTTAGCCATAATTTCGAGGAATCATCAGATACAATATGTGATTTTCTAGAAAAATCAATACCAACCACTCCACATCTTAAAGAGGATGTGAATGAAACGTTTGTTATTCAGGATAAAATGAATGAAGCATTTGTGGATTCGCGATTCAGTCATTCATCAACTCCACAGAGAGTTGTTTTCGAATGTCCCGAATCGCCTATAAATACGTGTCAGTATGAAAGAGATGATTCAATACTTTCTCCGTTCTTAAAGAAGACCCAAGTACTCTCAATGTCCCAGACAGAGCACCGAGGCGGTATAAAATATTGGGTGTCTTTCTCCGATGATATAGAAACGGAAAGAGATGGTAGGTCATTAAAAAAATTCAACGACGATTCGATACCTAGCTATTACGTCGTCGACTTTGAAGAGAAAGATAATGGCAAAGTGCTAGAAAGGAATGATTTCTCCAACGAGACATTTTCTAAATATGAAAGCTGTGAGTCCGAGATACTAGAAGGAAAGTTGATTTACGATTTACGAGAAAAACGCCGAATGGCAAGAAGTTGGCCACCGTCTGATGAATCATTGTTTTATAGAATTCTATCCAATTTTAGAATGTCCCAGAGTTTTGAATTAAGCGATCTTAATTATTCTAAATTTGAAAATAGTTTGTAATAAGAGTTAATAAAGGAATTATTGATAATTAATAATTTAGGAATATTTTACATATTTAAGATATGGTAACAAATATTTTGGAATGCCTAAAGGGCGGTTGGCGATCCTATTTATTCTTATTTTTTTTTCATTCTATGTTGTGTTAATTATTCTTTTTATATATATTTAGTGCTAATAAAACCTTAAAATTTCACATCAACTATCTTGCCTTACAAGGACATTCCCCGTCAAACATTGTTTTGAGTTGGAAGGTAGACGCAGAATTAAACATTACAGAAACACGAACACTTATAGTACGAAGAACTGACATTGTCTTAATTTCTACGGCTTATTAACGGTTAAACGCAAGTGAAGTTATAGTTTTTATATTGGTCTTTGTCATTCATTGCACTGTGTATTTTGTTTGTTATTTTATGTTAATGTCAAACAAATTATTATTCAAACAAACAAAAAAATACTTGGTGATAAAAAAAAACATTTATTATTAGTCAACTTATTATTATAATGTACGATGTTTATAATAATTTGTTTGACATTTTATATAGATGGATTTTAACTTAGATTCATTTTAATATAGTTATTTTTCAGAGATTTTATATGTAAATATCAGCATGTACTTACATCATTTCTTTACAAACAACTTTTGTTTGTTTATGTCATCGAACATCTATGTTAAATTCCATCTGTTTATGATTTGTTTGCGAACTGTGAATGTTGCTAATAAACTTTGCATGCATTTTTATTTAAGTTTTATTTTAAGGGAATTGGTTATTAACAGAAGGTAAGGAACTTTAACTAACTAACTATTCAGGGTAAGATTCAGAGAAGGAAATACGCTGAATCAAATAGGTATTTGTTTTGAAAGACTATGAGGATCAGATTCAGTCCGGAATTTAAAGACGTCTCGAGAGGAGACAACCCTAAGAATGACATATGTCAAAATGTTACTGGATTTTTCTGTATGTCAAAGTTATGGCGATAAGTCTTGGCCCTGAATCTTACCCTAAGAGCTCACAATTCCAATAAATGAGTTCAAAGAATCCAAGCTTAAAAAGCTTTGCCAGCCTCATTATTAACTTTTTAATCAGTGCATTAATTTGGCTGAATTGCACTGTGCTTTCAGATTACATTTATTAACTATAGGAATAATTTAGTGCATGACTACGGTTGTTTCGATAATTATTTTTAATAAAACTTACCCGGAATTCAACACAAATTTGTTAAGTTAAATAACGAAGTTTCGAGTGATTTTCAGATTAAGATGTAAAATTTCATTTGATAAGTTTTATTACCATATATAAATAGTTGAAAGATATGCACTGACAGATAATCGAACCTAGGAACAAGCGTAAATTTTACACGAATTTGAATTTATAGATAAGTTGGATTAATCGTAAGTTGAGGGTAGTAGTAAAAACAAATGAACATTTCAGGTGAACACACTCTGAACGGAGATCATTCGGACGCGCATCAAAGCACCTTTTCCCACAGCAGTAAAGAGGTATGTTAAAATACTAATTTGGTACCCTCAAAATGTCAAAAAAAATTAAAAAACGTGGTCTAAAGACACATTTACCTGTATCTTTAGCGTGTATTGAAACGCAATTCAAATAGTTTATATAATTATATTATATAATTTATGTATAGCAGCGCTTCGTGAGCTTATTTAGAACTTACGAAAGCACAAACAGTTTGTAAAGCATGCTGGTACTCTGTAAATTCCAGTAGTATAATTTTAATTATTTGCGATCAGCGCCATCTGTATGCGCAAAAACTGCGCCTGGCAGAGATATTTAAAACATTTGTATAATTGTACTATATTATATTATTAAGTCTGAAGTCTGGAAAAAATGTCTTAAGTAGTAAAACCCCCATTTACATCCCGTCTTCATTTATTTAATACTAATTTGTGTAATTGTGATGTTAATATATTTTAGGGTTCTCCATCCAAGGAAATTTCCACCGAGGACTCGCCTAAAAAGGACAAAAAGAAGAAGAAGGGCTTGAGAACCCCTTCCTTCCTCAAGAAGAAGAAAGAGAAGAAGAAGGAGAAGTCCAGCACGCCGCAACCAGCTTAGAGGTATGTTCGCGTAGATTAGTCCTACAACATTCATATATTCTACAGATTCTTGTTAGCTCGGTCGTTGGCTAAGAATGACCAATTTTGCGTTAAGTATTAAGTGTTCTTAAGTGCGTCATATTTCTTTATTGGTCTCTTACGGGTGTCCATGCGATGCATTCGTCTGTGGTTAACCGAAGGTGGTCCGGCTACGCACTTGCGAGATTTCTGGTATCACGTAGCATCAGATGAGGCTCCTGGGCGGTTGTCTCCTATTAAAAAAAACCGGATGAACAGGACCAAGAGAGCGTTCAAGTATTACGTAACGAATTTTGGGGAGGGGGGTCCTTTTGTAAAACGTTACGATACGGGGAGGGTATTGAATTACGCGTTATTGTTAATATTAAGAGTCCCTGGGTGGTCACACGAAACGGTGTACTTGGGTACAGTCAGTACAGTTTTTTGTTAACTAACGTTTTTACGTTACGGCGCGTTACATGGGGGGGTCAATAATCTCAAAAAATGCGTGACGTAATACTTGAACGCTCCCTAACGGACATCATGACCAATCACATCACACGCGCTTTGCCATTTCGTCTGTTTTTTTTACATTCTTTGAGTTTTGTATTTTGAGCAGTCAATATTTGTGCTCAAAAATAATGTAATGTTTTGTTAAAATCAAATTCCAGTTGGGAATAAAATTGCTTTAAATGTATTACCTCTATTTACTTGTTAGGTATTATTATTGTAAAGAGATTTCTTACGGAAATTCCAAACAAAATGAATATGAAGCGGGAGCTCATTTTATACGGTACTTCCAGGAAGAAAATCACTTTTCGAAACTATTTTTTTCTAAACGATTTTGTCTGGGAATGACATTAGCTCACGCTTTGTCACGTGACCATTTTCATACTAGTCTGTTTAATGAAAGAAGATAACAAAAAAAGTAAAAAAAAAAGCGCAGGTATTTATATTTTGTGGATTAAACTTACTTGAGACTTCATTTTATTTTAATTTTTTACATTGATAGTAACATTTTTAGTCTTTTACTATTGATAGTAAAAATGACACAACTTTATTCGGAATAATCAAATCAATAATAAAAATCAAAATCAGAATCCAAGTCATTGCTGTTATCACTGTCTCTCACATTGTTTATGAAACTATCTAAATGTTTAGGCTATTATACCTGTTAAGTATTCGGAAAAAATATATAATACAAATAAAAATGAGTAATTGCATAAAGTATCAAGACAATAAATCATACTAACCTAAGAAATTCAATGACATTCTGTGTTGCCATCCGAAAGTTTGCAAATTATTCAATTATCTTCTTTCATTAGCCAGACTCTTATTCGTGTGGCGTTAGTGGGTCACGCCTGGAGAAAAGTGATTTTGTCTCGAGCCCCAGTTACTTTTTAATATCAACTATATTGTATTAATTAACGAAGAAATTTTGTTCACAGATAATATTGACAAACTACACTGCCATCTCGCTTTCAAAATACGTGTAATGTTAAGAGTTTAATTTTATCGCTTGGTTTACCCACCTATGGCGGGCCGGTTAAAAGATAAAACAACCAAACAATTCGTTACTAGATCTAGGCCCAAATTCTAGAATGTCAACAATCTAAATCTAGTTTCAAGAGCTGTTAAACCATTTTATTCTGTATAAAGTTTGACATATTTGACTTACGTTTTAGAATATGGACCTTAGATTAATATATATGTTTATGGCAGTGTGCAGTTACATTCCCTGTATAATGTTGAAAAATGGGCAATAATATTACGCTAGATGGCGCCTGTGGTGTTTTAAAACGCGCTATCGTTTTATTGCATAGATAAAATATCGTGTGGAAATGATATGGTTTCAATCAGTTTCGAATAGCACGAACGCTTAGATGCACGCTTTAGCTTACTAAAGACTCAATAATATATGTTCGCTGAGTTAACAATTATTAATTGAAACTATTGTTGCGAATTGGGTAGGTTTTGGTTGTTTTATTTCTTAATATTTAGGCTCTGGGCATCGCTTACTTATTCAGAACTAAATCACTTGCTATACTATCGTTAGATAGAGGCCGTAAAAAAGTCGGCCAGATTGAACTTATTTTTTTTTTCGTATCTACCCTCGTCAATAAAATATTTTAAAAACATTTGAGACTTATGAAATTATTAAAATAAATTGTGTTATTGCACAAACAAATTGTAATGTTTTAATAAACATTTAGTTCTGAATAAGTCCTTTAAAAGCTAAAACGCAGAATTTTGTATAAAATTAATTTTTCGTATGGCAATAAATTTAAACTTGCCAAGCCCAATGTTGATATTTTAGATTTTGTTTTAATAATTTTATTTGTCCGCGAATTTTGAGCGATTAAATACTCAATGAAATTATTGCGTTGATTTGAATGAAATTTTTAAATTTGTTGGTGTTCAAAATAAGCGGACGGTGCATTGCGTATTTTTTTATATTAGCATGTAATGCTTAAATGTTGGGGTCTCGCCCTACGCCATTCGTGCTTTTTAAATGCGCACGCATACATTCCGCAAAATGGCGGACGTGTACTGTGTTGCCATTACAAATTTAATATAATATATAGCACTATGAATGTACATTTAAGAATTTATCGGCTAGCCTACTTTGGTAGATTTTTAAATTATTTTATGCCTTGATTTATGCAACATGGCGGCGGTTCTAAATGTCACTTCACGGAATTGTTGACTAGCAACACTAACGTCAAAGCCGCCATGTTGGAGTAATCATTAAGTACAGTTTGTTACTTTTACGATAATTTTACAAGAAATTATATTTTTTTCTATTATTTTTTCTGGGTTTTATCAATTTGACATTACCTAGAATAAGTCTAGCGTTGTTAAAATGACAAGTTGATTTTTATTAAAGCGTTGTAGTAGGACGGACGTTGGGCCATAGACTTAATTTTTAACACCAGTGTTGCCATTAAATATTTTCCCATGTTTTAGATATTTTTACACTTTTTTTGCTACTTTATAGGACGGTTTTAGTATTTTGTTAAACGCCACCTGGTGTTAAAGTTAAATATGGTTCAATATTCTGTATTTACAAAATATTATTAAGGCATTCGGCGTTATAAGTGGAATACAAACTGAGCTTTCCTCTAACTATAAGTGACTTAGTCGTGTTAACATTTGACCTTGCAAAAAATTATACAATTAAATTCAGTTATCAATGGCACTATAAATGCAAAATGGCGATCAAATTCGACCTGTGTGTTAGCCGCTAAGGTCAAAACTCAGTAATTTTGAACTTTATAAGATTTGGTGTTGCCATAAATTTTCTACTTAACTATAAAATAGAAACATTTATTTACAGGGTAAAGCCCGTTCCGTGAATCTTAACGTCATTTGACAATGGTCCACTTATAAAACTGAATTATTCTGTACTCTTTAAAATTATGACACTGGCATTCTATGCAATTTTGTGTATTTGTATTGAAATAAATTATTAGTTTTAATGTGACTTTTATTACTTTCATTTTCAGTTATAATTTAATTGACTTCGTATTACGACTATAACTAACGAATACTGTGTTTCTGAGAAATCTGTGAACAAACGTACACGGAATAGAATGTGCTTAGAAGTCTAAGTCTCAAATCCAGGGAAAACTGTATAAAAATTAGACTTAAGTAGTCAATAAAAATCAGCAACATTTGAAAATTTTAACCGTAAAATTGTCCCTTAAAAAAACGTAAAAGTCTACCAGGAATGACTGTATGTATACAGCTTGCCAGATAGTGGACTGTGAAATGTGTATTTCAATTTATATGTTATAAATGCCTCCATAGAGATCTTTCGCCGAGTCGTTATACCAACCTTGACGAGATAATTATTTTCTTTATTCCTACATAATGGTATTTCCATTATATATTTGCGGATGCTTAGCAGACCCATGCGACTTCTTCAATACAAAAAGCTCCCTCGTGAGTTGTGCCGCGATATGGTGGGCTACTGGTGAGGAAGTTGCGTAGATCTGGTTAGAGCTGGGCCTTCTTAAGTTCTCATGTAATTTTCACACGTGTATAGCATTTTTATAGTAGTGTTGGCCTAGTGGCTTCAGCGTTCGTCTCTCATCCCTGAGGTCGTAGGCTCGATCCCCGGCTGTGCACCAATGGACTTTATTTCCATGTGCGTATTTAACATTCGCTCGAACGGTGAAGGCTTTTTAAGGAATACCAAAAAGGTTAGTCGACATCACAGGAGGCCGAAGAGCTGACAGCTACCTCGGACTGAGAATAAGTCTAGCTATTCAAAAGGGGACGCTGCCAGTATCTTCGGAACCTTGCCTAAAGGGACTCTTTAATAATGTATTTTAAGATTAGTTATTGTGTCGTGGATTAACGTGGAGGCACCACATCAAATGTAAAAAGCAGGAGCTACAGCTAAAGTACAACAGCCTTTACTGGATGCTAGGAAGAAACTCCAGACTTTCTCTAGATAACAAACTTCTTATATATAAAGTCATCCTAAAGCCCATTTGGACATATGGCCTCCAACTGTGGGGCAGCGCAAGTGATACCAACATAAATATACTCCAGCGACAACAGAACAAGATCCTAAGAGCAGTTGCAAAAGTACCATGGTACATAACCAACAACGAAGTTCACGAACACCTTAAAATGAGAACTATCAAAGAGGAAATCCGGAGACTGGCAGCTAAATACAAAGAGCGGTTAAGCTGTCACCCGAATGAACTTGCTCGCCAACTCACCATTAGACAGTATGTGAGTCGACTAAAACGTCACCATATTCTAGAGCTAGAAGACCGGCAGTAGCTCTAGACAGAAGATGAGTAGATGCTTCCAATGGGAAGTCACTCCACATGACAGCACCACAGAAAAAATTCGCTCATAGCCTTGGGGCTGATTGCAAATAACCGCAGAAAAAAAAAAAAGTTATTGTTTTTAGTTAAGAATATTGTAAATAAGTACTTTATCTTTGTTGTTACGAATTACATTTACAATCAATTAAAAAATAAT